TATTAAATGTTTGAAATTATTTGTCTTTGCGGAAAACACTATTTAAAAAATATGGGGCCCTTAAGGTTTACTGTATAATCACTGCATAATTTAATATTGAATTCGTTATTAAAACCAGCTACTAATTTTTTACACTAGAAGCATTAGAGTTAGATTTAACTGCACGAACTAAAGATCGAAATCTTAATCCAAATAATTTCTTTGACACGTAATTTAGCATAGAACCATTCACGTACCTATAACATTTTATATACGCTATTATTTTCTTAAACTTCCATCAATTTTCTTCACTTTTCACACCAATCATTGTTTTTATAAAAAAGCCATTCACAATCTAAACCCTTCAAATCCGCTGGCTACAACGCCTACCACTCCATCTTCGCCCGTTCCGCAATGTAAACACTATCAAAACGTTCTCTTTCGTTGGAAATTCGTTCATCCAATAGCGTGGAAGGCTCCTTTCGCCACGTTCGGGTCCGGGCATAAACGTCCCAGACGAAATTCGTCCTTCGACCCGATAAATATAGCAATGTAGGTCAAAGGAGGCGTCGTCCCACATTCCCCCCCCCCCCAAACGTCATTAATTAATCGAGCGTCTTTTTACATAACCGGGACAATGTAAGGATATAACGAGGGAAAACAATCGCTCCGAAGACAAAGACTGTGCGTATCCGGCGGATTATAACGCCGACATTGTCTTTAATTACCCAATCGTGTTTTCCACGGAATACCTGGGTGTTTATTAACGGAAATACCGAAGCCATTGTGTTGATAAATGGAAAAAATCAAAATTACAACCGAGACAAAAATTATGGATGTTGTTTTCACATGAAATATTCGCAGATAATGGATAAAGCTCCGCGCGCACTACGCGGTTCGTAAAGGCTTCGCGAGCAAAACAGAGCCAGAAATGAACAAAACAAACAAACGACACGAACAAGTTAATGTACGAATTATTTTAAATTTATAAATTAAGGATGTTTTTTCACAAGATTTGGCGAACAAAAAAACGCACAAAATTAACAAGTTAATATACGAATTACATTACTAAATCTATAAATTATGAATTTTTTTTTACAAGGTTGATTAAACAACGCTTAAAGTTACGCCCACACTCACACGATGTACGTAAAGGTTCGGTGAACAATCGAAACGAACAATATACTAATTAATTATTTTAAAGGAGGAGGGCCCGTAGGGCCGGTTTTTGGCCTAATTTATTTTTGACTGAAAAAATCTAAAAAAAACCTACCAGCAATACTGTCCCTAAACGGACCAACCCCCTCACCCTCCTTTCCCCTTCCACCCCCTTAAATCCCATGAAGAGTTTTTTAGATCGCTGATCACGAATCTGGTCTCATAATCACGAAATTCAAAATGTCGGATCGAATATGGCGTACAAAAAATTGAAATGTCTTCAAAATGCATTGATTTTTTTGTAATGGGGTTTTTTGGGTCTATGATTACGAATCTGGACTTTAAATCACGAAATTCAAAATGGCGGATTCAATATGGCGGACAAAAAATTAAAAAGACCTTCATAATCCTCAAATATTTGTTTATATAAACTTTCTTGGATCACCGATTACATTTATGAATTCAGAAAGAAAAAGATGACAATTATATCAACGTGCATGTGTATATTGACTTCAGAATCGTAATTAGCGACCCAAAAAACTCCTCAACACAATTTGTGCATTTTGAAGACATTTCAGTTTTTATACCCGCCAAATGGGATACCCAAAGACACAAAAACCGCCAACACAAAAATCCGTGCATTTTGAAGACATTTTAATTTTTTGTCCGCCATATTGAATTTCGTGATTCTGAGACCAGATTCGTGATCAGCGACCCAAAAAACTCTTCATATGTAAGATTCATAGGAATTGAATGTTTTTCGCATCTCTAAGCTCTTTAAATATTCCTCTAATAAGCGATGGTTTCCCCGGCATTTAAGAGGGTGGAGGGGGAAAGGAGAGTGAAGGGGTTGGTCCGTTTAGGGTGGAAACGATTCAGTATTGCTAGTAAGCAGGTACTAGAAAAAAATTTTTCAGATTTTTTTCAGCCAAAAATAAATTAGGCCAAAAAGGGGCCCTCCTCTATAAATTATGGATTTTTGTCGTCAGAATAATTCATAAACGCGTAAAGCTACGTGCACATTACACGATGCGCATAAACATTCGATGAACAAACTAAGTAATTAACAAATTAATTAATGTACGACTCATATTATTAACCCTCAAAGGTCACATTTGGGGTGGACCACCTTAAAGGTCACACTAGTGCGAATTGGGATTTTGCCAACTTTGAACCTTTCTGTCTTTATCTATTAATGAAAACATAACGCATTTATATCAAAACTGGGGTAAAATTTTCTAAGAAATCGAATGATGTAAGTACCTAATTGATTTTGAAAAAAAAATTTGTTAATAAAAAAATTATTTTCGAAAAATTTCTTATTTTAAAGTCGAATTTTTTATAAATAACGGCTAGAGAAAAAAAAAATTTTGAAGTTCAAATGCCCATATTAAAGTCACACAAGTGCGAATTCGCACCGATCGGATTTTTGACCGACAATATCAGATTGATGCCAGCTGTGGTACGGCTCGACTGTTTGGGCTATAGAAGAAATTATCGTGGTGGGGGAGCCCTCGCAGTTGCTACCTAAGAAATGCCAGCTGGTGGTGCGAATTCGCACTAGTGTGACCTTTGAGGGTTAAATTTAATAAAACATTTACATTTGAATGTTTTTTACAAAATTCATAAAGGCGCACAGCTACGCACATACGTAATGTGCGTAAGGATCGGCGAATAAAACAACGGACAAAAGTATTAAGATAATGTACGGATTAATTACTAAATCTATAAATAATGAATGACTTTTCACAAGAAAAATAATGGTTAAAGCTATGTGCCCACTACGCGATATACGTAAAGGCTCTGCGAACAAAATTAATGTAAGTTGTACATTATATGTTTAAAGCTACGCGCACACTTACGCGAATAAAACCACGCATGAAATGAACCAGTCAATGAGAGTTCAAATTAAGATTTTTTTTTTCACGAGCAATAATCATAAATAATGTTTAAAGTTACGCGCGCACAACGCAAGAAATGAATAAATTATTACATGTGTATATTTAGGTATTAAATATCACTCACCTGCTGGGATATCTCGTCGTCCTCCTGGCTCCAGTCGGGATCGACGTCGTCGTAGCACCCCCCGCACACGCTGAACGCCGACAAGGACGTCGTCTCGTGCTTGAGGTTCTCCTCCGACTTGGTATGCCTAAGGGTGGGCATGATCTTGGTTGGCACTGGCGAACTGGCTATGTCGTCCACCTCGACGACTTCTATGTAGATTATGTACGGAGCCTTTGGGGGGACAGAAATCGGTACAGTTTCCCGCAAAAAAAAACCGGTAATGATCGCTCACCTTATCTTTGGAGTTGAGAACCGCCGCCACCTGGGGCGGTATCCTCACTATAAGGTGGGGATTGTGGCTGTTGAGTGGCAGCCACACCCTTGCCGGCAGGTTCAGGTTCAGGGTGGTCAGCTCCGCTATCAACCTGGTGGTCTTCGCCTCCTTGGTAGGGATGGAGCTCAGCAGCTTGCCGATGAGGATCAGCGCTTGCATGAACTCCAGTTCCGGCCTCAGTCTGGGAGCCTGTGGAACCCCAGAAATAATAATAATATATAATTTCAACCACACTATTTAATTTAATTAAAAACGGATTAAAATCAGTTTAAATAAATGGTAATCATCACCATCTATAAGACCTCACACTGATACGTCATCGTCTAGTGACGTAACTATCAGTGGTTTAGACCACAAAGCATATAGTTTAATACTTCGTGCTTTAGACAATTTCTAACCGTTAATGACAGATTATTATTGTTAGTTTAATTTAACAATTTCGATAACCATTCTTAATATTAATTATATTATAAAACGCAATTACAAACAGTTGTATATGAAATTATTGTCTGTGTTAATTTCTCGTTAGTTCGATGATGCTAAATCGGTTTGTAAATTTGAGGTTAGGAGTCGATAATTTGTTATAGTCTGTTTGGAAATGAAAGAGAGTAATAAAACCCCGAGATAAGAACCGGCCATGGGCGTGGTAATATTTCGTTTCAGGTAATTATCGGGTAACACTAATGCTAACAGGTAATGGGTGTACATTAGTATATTTTACTGGATACATCATAGGGCAGGAGCCAGTGTATTGTGACAGATCAATCCAGTCTTAGAGCTGAATATACGAAGACGTGCTAGTGCAGTAGAGTAAAATTCGACTTGTGTTTAGTGACTATTGTGCCAGTGGATATAATATTGTTTGGGTAAAATGTCGAGCTTATCAGATTACGTACCTGCTAAACGCGTGAAAAGATGTGCGCTGTCTCAGAATGAGAAGATTATTATATTAAATGTATTTAATGCATTGAAACACCAAAATCCTACCAACAGTGTTGACGACATCGTGGAAAAGTGTTCCAAAATGACAGGGATTGGAAAATCGACTATCTACAGACTTTTAAAGGAAACAAAAAATGAACAAGATACTGTAAATCCCCCAAAATCATCTACAGGGAGGTCAAAAGTCGTTATAGATGATTTCTTCAAAAATGTCATTCGCAGAAAAGTACACTCATTTTATTTTAAAAAAGAAATACCAACGCTAAACAAAATTTTAAGTGAACTTTCAGAGGACAACGATTTGCCAAAAATCAGTAGAAGCAAATTATGGGCCGTCTTACGAGAGTTGAATTTTTGCTGGGAAAAGCAGAACAGGAAGTCAGTTCTTATCGATAAAGATGAAATTATTTGTTGGCGAAGATCCTACTTAAGATCAATTAGAAAATTCCGTGACGAAGGGAGGAATATTTATTATCTAGACGAAACTTGGGTCAACGAGGGATATACTGTAACAAAAGTATGGCAAGATAAAAATGTAAAAAGTTTTCGACAAGCATTTTTGGATGGACTTTCAACAGGGTTCAAGGCACCTTCAGGTAAAGGGCGAAGATTAATAGTGACACATATAGGTAGTGCCAGTGGTTTTGTAGATGGCGGTTTACTTTTATTTGAATCTAAAAATACAGGTGACTATCACGAAGACATGAACGCAGATGTTTTCGAAGAGTATTTTACACAGATGTTGGATCTTATTCCTCCGGGGTCTGTAATTGTCATGGATAATGCCAGTTACCATTCACGGCAGACCGAGCGGACGCCTACGACTGCTTGGAGGAAAGCCGATATAATTCAATGGTTATCCGGAAAAAACATTTCTTTTGAAACAAATATGGTGAAAAAGGAACTTTTGACACTTGTCAATCTTAATAAAGATCAGAAAAAATATGTTATCGATGAAATGGCAACAAATCGCCAAATAACGGTACTACGGTTACCACCTTATCACTGTGAACTTAACCCAATCGAATTAGTCTGGGCGCAGGTAAAAGGAGATGTAGCGCGAAATAATACGACGTTTAAATTAAGTGACGTGAAAATTTTGTTAAAAAATTCCTTGGAACGAGTAACTGCAGATAACTGGCAAAGATGTATACATCATGTACAAAAAGAAGAGGAGAAAATGTGGGAACTCGATAATTTAATTGACGTTACTGTGGAACCTATCGTTATCAATCTAGGAGACGAAGATAATTCATCAGAATATTCAGAGGATGAATTTTAATATACCTACTTTTTTATTTTCTTTATTGTACATTTATACAACACTACATTTACTCACCATAATTTGAATTTTCAAAATACATATATTTTTGTGTGGAATAAAAGTCTATTCATTAAATTTAAATAAATATTTTGATAATAATATTGAATAATTTTATTTGAATTACTAAAAACCCTCTTAACCCGGTTATGATGCTTAAAGTAGCCTCATGTTTTGAAATGCTGTTTTTATATTGTTTACTTATAAGAGAAATGGACCGAGAAATTGAAGCGGCATAGACAAAGACGGATTGTCGGGGATTAAATTTTAGCTACCTGCTACAATTTTGTACAACCCGGTCACACAAAGTTTTTTTAAAAGTACACTCATCTATACTGATAATACATAATATAAAAATATTGAATATAAGCACCAGTACTACATTTATTTACGATTTGCATACATAATAAGCTTTTATTACTCTCTTTCATTTCTAAACAGACTATAAGTTAATTTATGTTCATATTTTTTCTCGAAGATGAAATGAAGCCTTGTATAAGTTATGGTGCTAGGCAATTCCATGAGCTGACGTTCCAGTAAAAAAAACTACAATTGTCATTTGGACTGTTTAATACGTTCTTGAGTCTTCACTTATCCACATGTCAAATCTGTACCTCTGCTATTTCAAATCATTTAATGGTAAACTGTTTTTTACTTTACATTTCCGTGTCGTAACTTTAAAAGGCGACAACCATCACCACTACAGTGACGTCACGCGTGAAGCGCCGAGATTTTATAATTCAGGCGGTTAAGGCACTTACCGAGCAGGTGCATTCAGTCTTCTCTCCCCTAAGGTCGTTGACGACGCTCTGGCAGCTCTCGAAGCACACGCACCCATTGTCGAACGCCTTGCCCGAACTGAGATCGCCCAGGCAGAGTTTCGTGCTGGCGGCGCCCTTCTTCAGGCCGGGCAGGAGGGCCGAGGCGTCGCTCTGCGACCTCTGGTGGGACTTCTTGGCGGGCGCCAGCTGCGGTACGGCCAGCTTGTCCGACTGGATGTTGAGCGAGGTGGTCATCTTCTGGTTCTTGGGCCTCAGCTCGTCGGAGAGGATGAGGTTGCGCAGCTTGACGCCGTGCGGCTTCTTCTTGGTGGGCAGTGAGGCGTCGGAGCTGAAGGCCTCCAACAGCCAGGCACATTTCAGGGAGAAGTCTATGGATTTCCTACATCTGGAATAAATATGAACATTCAGAATATATTTTTAAATGTAACCAAATAAGTATTTGATAAAATATGGATAATCGAAATACGTGATCGTCTCTGTCGCCCCCCGTAACGTAAACATTTAGATATTTCTCGCTGCCCCTCGTAAGCGAGAATTTTTTACGTGGACAAAAAAAACACCGACGATTCCCCAACATAAAAATATGACCTCTGCGGTCGAGGATAACTCAGTAATTACGGCGGCGCTAATTGCATTAGCTCTAATAGCGGGTTATAATTTTTTTTAAGTTCCAACATGGCCGACCAGACTCGATTAACTTTTCGAGTCGCGGTGCGGAAAAAAAATGTTTGTCGGAACGCGTACCTGCTGGGACGACGAGATAATTACATAACAACATAAAATCAATTACCCGTGGCTTATTTCCAAGGTAAATATTATGACGGAGCTGAAACTGTGACGTCGGAGTACGCCCCTTCATTGAAATCTACTTTACCAAATTTCAAGTTCGTTGCATTTGACAGACAATGAATACTGTAGACGCTTAAAAATAATTGTCGGCATTTCTTAAAAAAATACATTAATAGGCTGGTTTCCGCAAGTGAAATTATACAGGGTGTAACTGTAATTGTGGGTAATACAGGGCGATTCACAAACGGTGACCAAAAATGAAACCTCGTATTCTTTGGTGAATTTTAAGGGGTCTTTCGTAAAATTTTTTATCTAGAACGCTTCATTAAAAAGATACAGGGTGTTAAACTTAAAAAAAATGTTTTTAATTTTTTTAAATAATTGAAAAACTAGCAAGTGAAATAATTTGAAATTGGGCAAATATACAGGGTGGTCACGAAGTATTGGGCCAAAATTCATGGGTAGATTCCCGAAGCAGAAATATTGCGATTTAGCCGAACTTACCTTAGTCCAAAAGTTGATAGTTAAAGAGATACAGGGTGTTAAATGTAAAATATTATTTTAGTTTATTTCCATTTATTTCTTAATAAATGCAAATATCTACACAAAATTTTGGGGTTTGGGGTTCTTTGGGTAGAGGAATTGAAATCTTTGGTATCGAATTCTTATTTTCCATTTTGTACACAAAAAAGGTTAACTTTATGAAAGTGGCTGTCTCGCACCGTTTCCGAGATATTTGGCTTTGCAACAATGCTAATAGTTGAAATAATTAAAATAATTTAAAAATGTCAAAAACAAGGATTTATTTAGAATTAAAAATTGTAATGAAGAGTAAAATAGTAAACATTAGTAAAAAATATGCCTTTTTGACAATAATTGCTTAAAATATCCACCTCTAACTTCAATACATTTATCAATGCGCTTATTAAAAGATGGTCTTATTTTTAAGTATAAATTCTTAACGCGAAATGACTTTGCAGCATTTAAAACCTGCTGCTAAAGTTCTTAACAGGTGTTTATAGTTTCTCCATAAACAACTGATTTCATGTAACTCCAAAAATACGAAAATCTCTCGGCATTCTATCTCACATTGATGTATACGAGTATACAATTTAAATTGTAAGCTAAGATGTAATTTTAATTATGTACGAATAATACTTAATAGAAATGAGCATACAAATGACAATAAGGCAAGTGTAAAACGTCAGTTATTTGATTTTCGTCCAAATCCTACTTAAGAAACTTTACCACTAAATTAATAATACCTGTAGATACCGAGGTAGATACTTTGGACGAAAATCAAATAATTGTAATTTAATGCAACAGCATTGGAAGTTTCAAAGCCAAATATCTTGAAAACGATGTGAGATAGCTACTGTCATAAAGTATACCTTTTTTATGTAAAAAAAGTTGGAAAATAAGAATTTGATACCAAAGATGAGACACCTCCTAGTACAAAAAATGTTATGTCGTTTTAACACATTCAATCTACTGCAGCTAGCGCCCTCTATGAACTTTAACCAAAATGTGAACAGATTTCAATTTCTCTATCCAAAGAACTCCAAACCCCAAAATTTTATGAGGATATTTGCATTTGTTAAGGAATAAATGAAAAAAAAAAAACTGAAATAATATTTTACGTTTAACACCCTGTATATCTTTAACTATCAACTTTTGGACTAAGGTAAATTCGGCTAAATCGCAATATTTTTGCTTCGGGAATCTATCCATGAATTTTGGCCCATTACCTCAGGACCACCCTGTATGTATGTATCCATTGTCCAAAAACTGAGGTCTTTTCCTAAAATTTAGATGCTCCAGTGGCGGATATACAGGATATCGGTAGCAAATTTGTCTAAGTCTAAAAAAAATAAAGTTCGGTTATTTTTTTAACAGACCTCGTATATAGATGCCTTGACGAAAAAAGCCATCTCTTTGTGTATTCATCGACCTTACAAAGGCCCTTGGAATCAATCACAAACAAATTCATTCTGAACTATTGAATATAGGTTTCAGAGAAAAATATTCGTAATTTGTTAAATGGCTACCTAAGAAATCGATCGCAATATGTAAAAATAGGAAAAAGACTAAGCGATCGTTCTCTGCGGTTTACCTCAAGGAACTGTCATATCACCAACGTTTTTTACGCTATATTTGAATAGTTTGCTTACTTCAAACTTAAACCGTCATATAATTTCCTACGCAGATGACACAGCAACAGTTTTTTCAGGATCATGCTGGTATGTGAAACATTGGAATATGTAAAATCGTAGATATATTATAGATATGAACTCAACATTCTTGAAATATCTAGGTCTAGGAGTAATTATTGATAATCATCTCAGGCGGAATGTTAATGTGAATTCAGTAATACGTAAGTCAAGAAGCTCTCAATAAACAGATAAATAATATTCAAAACAAGTTAAGATAATTTACCATACTCTTAATAAATTCAATTCTAAGATACGACATATAAGTAGGGGGTGGAGTAAATAAAACGTCGTTGAAACCACACGAACAAATTTCCCATGATAATTCTACATAATATGACGTTTTTTTGAGCCAAGTATAAAGGTCCTATACCCAATTTAAATACCCCAAAAAAATTCCCTAAAAAGTATTGTTTTTTAACACCATTTTTGCGATTTTTTCGAATTTTACCATAATAATCATGATTCATTCGATTTATAACTAGACATGTTTTGTAAAAAATTTAATTACAAAAATTTTTTTCCTCTTCCATTTTCAACTCTTGAAAAGATACATAATTAAACAGGACGAAAAATATGACATTTTTCGAATTTTTTTAACATATTGTGCCGCCAAAAGTTAAGCCCACGTTTTTTTTATGCGCATAGAAAAATGTTCATTTCTAGTGATATTTGAAAGCCAAAAAGCCAAAAATCTCCGTGGATATACGATTCACCCAAATATGGCTTTTTGAAACAGATACCGTCTGGACTAGTTATAGTTTTTACGTGAACAGAAAACTTAGTTTTTAGCAGATAAATTGGATTTTTTGTAAATCTATGACCGGGTTTTGAAATAATGATAAAAAACATGTAATTGAAAAAAATGTAGTTGCTGGAAGCTTGAGTAGTAGATTTTAAATCAGCTTATTTCAATAATTACGATACATAAACTAGTTAGTATTTTTTTTTCAATGGAGAGAACAAAGCGATATTATATGTAAGACATTTTTTTTTATTATTATAGGACCCGTACATTTTTTAGTGTTTATGGAAAATTACTATTTCTGTACCTCTGCCTATTTCTCAAGAACAAATCAATTATGCGTTGTGCGACTAACGCCGCTAGTCAGAGCAATTTTTTCCCACAGCACCAAAAACAAACCCGATAAATCTAATACGCCCACAAAATTGAGGCAGCGACAAACATCGATACCCGTTAGATTTGCTGACCGTGATTTTTTTCGATAATAAAATCGACCTACTCGCACCAAAAACAATAAGCGAAGGCCGTTTACAGAACCAGATTCGTCAATTCTGCATAAAAAAAAACCGTCAACATTTTTTTCATCCTCGACGAAATGACGCAGTACTAAATCTGGTTTTCTTATATTTATTTAGAAAATAATATTATATTTGCAGAATAATACTGTACCTATATTAATTTATCATATTGGATACATGTGTGTTTGCTTTGTTTTTCCATCCAGGATTATGTATATTTGCATATTGTACTTTACTGACAGATATTTTTTTATATTATGTGTGTTCTGTTTTTTTGTGTCATTGTGTATGGCATATTAAAATAAAGTGTAACTAGTATCATTATTTTCCGCCCCCTACCTTTTGTCGTACGTCAAGGTGAGACCAGTCTAGGGTTGTCGTGAGAAAACAACGTTACCGGTAAACAAAGGACGAGGAACAACGACTAACAAATGGGTTTGGCCTTCGAAACGTTTTATAGGTTAAAGGGTTGAAGAAAGGACTGCTGATGAGAGGAGGGAGCGGCCCCGCTTTCCTGGCGGAGGTAATTGTGTGTCACGAGAAACCGTCCTAGAGCTTAAGCGGCAAGCCTAATAGGATAGGGAACGTTAGGGAAGCCATAGAATTTGGGACACTTCCACGTCACAAAACACCGTAAGTTGTAGCTAAAGTATTTAATTCGATGATTTGTAAAACCGAAAATATTTGAAATGGCGCCTCCTATTGACGTCGTAAGTCAGAAGCCAATCAAATGTTAGAATGTATGATGCGGTCAACATGAATTTGGCCAAAATGTAAACAGCAAAAAAAATTAAAGAAGCAGAAAAGTTTCCAATTTTTTTAAGTGATTTGTGAAAGGCCGTAACTTCATGAATAATGGTCATATCGAGAAAAAAAACTTGCAGGGAAAACCATCAATTTTAGCGAAAGGTGACTCCCAGACAGCTTGTAGGAAATAAAATTATCTACAAAATGAGACTTGTTAAATTAAAATCGGTTAATAAACAAAAAAGTTATTGCAAAAAAAAAACAAGAAAAGTGCCCATTTTTTAATTTGTTTATAACTATCGCATTTATTATTAAAATAATATAAAACCTATGACAAGTTGAGGGTTTTGTCATACTTTAAAAGCATGCCAAAAGT